TCCCCGCCCCGGCCCCGCCCCGCCATAGCGGGGACGCCGCGCGCAGGCTGTTCGCTGTTTGCCAACCCCAGAGCTGTGTAGTAGGATCTCATTCTGCTTTTAATTCACGTTTCTTTGATCACAAAAAGTGTGAACCTATCTTCGTGTATCCACTGACCATTTGGAGTTACTCTTTTGTGAAGTACTTGTCCAAATCTTTTTCCATTTTTTTTAGACTTTTTTTCTTTTTCAAAAGTGTTCACTATTTATAGTTCTTTCGTTGGCTACAGCCATTGCATATAATTTTCCCATTCTGTAGATTATCTTTTCTCTCTTTGCAGTGTTTTCTGATAAACGGCAGTCATTTATTTACGCAGACCAAATTATCGGTATTTTTATTAAAGTTAGTGCTTTTTGTATCTTTTTTAGGAAATCCTTTTCTAATGCTGAAGTCATAATGATATTTTTGTATGTTACGTTCTAAAATATATCTGGGGGTAACTTTTTTGGATGGGTCCAATTTCATTTTTTCCTACATGGCTTTGCATACTAGTGTCAATTTTTGTTTTATGTATTTTAAACTCATGCTATCCGGTGCTCACAAGTTTAGAAATACATTATCATATTTATCTTTCTACCATCACGTAGTGCTCCCTCTGCGTACCTAGTAAGGCTTCTTGCCTTAAAGTCTGTTTTGTGAACATCAGCTTTCTCTTGTCATAAGTTTTCTTGGTCCTTTGATGTAAAATTAAAGAGTTCAGGGTGGCTTGTCTGATCAGGACCAGTTTTTAGAGTCTAAAAGGCCTTATTAAACACAATTGTATCTACTAAACAGTCCACTTAAACTGTATCATTTATTTAAAATGAAAAGTATACTTTATTTAAAAAATCATCTCAGGGTGTTTATATACTCTAACCTGTAGCCTAACTATTTCTGACCACCGACGAGACACTAAGTCACCATGGAAGAGCCGCTGGCTTGCAACTCCCTGGGACACTGCAAAGCTCTGAGTGGGAAAGGCCACATTTTATTTACAGCTCCACATTCAACCCACGACAGCCAACGACAAACGGCCCGTGGCCAAGCAGAAGGCCGGCGCCCCGCGTAGGCAGAGTCGCGTCAGCGCTAAGGTTCAGGAGCCTCAGGCTTTACGGGCGTCAGGCACCCAGGGTGCTAACTGTAAACGCAGACGTCTGGTTCCCGGCCCTAAATATATTTTTGAGAAAATCTTCAGGTAATTTTGATATGCATCAGAGTTTGAAAACCACTGCCATTATTTAAAAAGGAAGAAAAAGAGGATGGAGTAAGCCATTCTGTCAAAAAGTGTAGTTATTTGACATAGCAGTTTTTTTTTTTTTTGAGATGATTAAATAGGAATAAAATAGAGATAGATGAAAACAAGATACACAGTTTTACAGAAACAACAGAACCTATAAAAATTACATAGTAAAACATTTCAGCATCTTTGTTTTAAAAAAATGCTATCGGAAACAATATATTATATCTGATCTTTGACTGTAGCATATTCATGATATAATATAGGCAGAAATGTTGTCTCCGCTAGTTTATAAGCTAATGATCTTTATCTGTCATACACAAGTTAAAATTAAATGAGGAAAGCAAGACACCCCAAAGAGGAAAACACCCACTATCCACTTAGCCAGCTTCCGAGAAGTAAATAAGCCCCTGCACAATGAGCGGGCCTGCTCATCTCTGCCGAACGTGAACTCGGCGTGCCCTCATTCTGGAAGCCAGCCACTTCACAAAGCACCTCGTGTGCTTTATGGGCTTCCATCTCATATTCCATTTCACACGTGAATGGAGTTTAAGTTCACTTAGTATGTTACATTTGTCTTGTAACTAGGTTGGATTTTACACTGTCTTCCGATTCGGAGAATGATTTACATGTCTTTTTCAGTAGCATGTGCTCTCTAAAATTTTGTCTAGATGCTCCTGTAACATAGAAATTACGGTATGTGGTGGGGTCCTGAAGGTCAGGTATATTTCGTTTGTTCTGTTCAAAAACGGGAGCGCATTAAGTCTTGCTTAATTAGTCTAACAGAGATGATGACAGCATAAAGGCAGCTCGAAGTTAAAATTTTCATTTACTGAAGGATGACCCAAAACGAAATTTAGCACATCGCCAGTGAATATGTGCACTGAGCAGTGATAATCCCACAAAATTCAGAAAGTGAATTCCATTTCCCTCCTCTACTCAGAGCTAACTCCTACCCCATGTTAAAGCTGAGCTCTCCCACTTTGCTTCCGAAGCTGGCCATGTCCCACAGCTCTCCCGATGCGACGCCTCCAGCCCCAGCCAAGCAACCACTGCCCCAGAAAAGGCACCCATGGGGCTACCTGATGGCACCTGCCAACCCTGTGTCCTCAGAGGCCTCCCTCAGGTCTCGGATCGCCCGAAGAGCCTTATCCCAGTTACAGGAATCTTTTCTGACTGATCCGTCTCTAACTTAGTCTGCTTCCCACAATGCCCTTGTCATCCTCATCCCTGGAGGTTAGCAGACTCTTGTTCCCTTGTGTTTCATGGGTGCGTCTCCTGCGTTGCTAAACTCTGTGGGCAGGACCATGTATTCAGGAGAGTAAAATGGTATTTTAAAGGCAGAAAATTTGAACTTTCCATGTGTTTTATTATATACTTCCTATGAGGTCTATTGTCAGGAATAAAATAACTGCTTATTGAACTTGATAAAATAGTATAGCGCATAATAACTTGAATGTTATAATTACATGGTAAATGAGAAAACCTGACAACTGTGTTATTATCCAAACTCTTTTAAATGCAAAAAAAAAAAGGTAACAATATTGGTACTCTTCAGAGACTCAAATCTATTATTTTACTTGAAAGAGCTATGTATAACTTTTTCAAAATCATCTCATTGGAATCAATGAGATGCATGTATTTAAAATTTTTAGTTTATCTTAAGTCTTTACTGAGTGAAAATAAATGCATTTAACAGACAGCTAAATACTAGGTTCTGGGTTCACTGTTTGGTATTTCCATGCTTCGCCCTTGTCTGTGTTCTGGAGTGACGGGCAGAGTCACAGTTACGAAGCTGGCATCTGTAAGTGCTTTGCTAAATTTATATCCTATTTCAGTGCTTTTTGTCAAATTTCATATCCTTAAACAAAAACAAAGTCAGAAGAAGTTAAAGTAAAATCTAACCATATTAAATAAAGCAAAGTAAAAAGACTAGTGCTATATTCTACAAAAAGCCTTTTAATCTACTTTAAAGTAGCAGGGAGGGGCTAGCGGAGAAGACTGAATGAAAGCGGTGTAAGTTAGTGATATTCACATTAGAAAGTCCTAGCGCTGAAGATTAATTGGCTTCCTCCACCCCTGAACACAGAGTCGAAGCCCCCGACTCTGTGCTCGCCTGAGCCCCACGAACGCTCCTCTGCAAGACAGGGCCCAGGTCCCCCGGTGCTGGGCTCAAAATCCTCTGGCGACAAAACAACCTATACACTCATTTAAGACACCTAATCGAGACTACACAAGCGTAAACTCACCAACAACTGATTCTCAAAGACGATTTGGCACTTTTTAGGGTAAGTAACTCTGGACTTGTTACTATGACTTGGGTGTCTCCCTGGACGCCTGCCTAACACTCCTAACCCCTCTTGACCAAGACTGAAATAAAGCCAGCTCTTTTTCTTTTACATCTTCAGATTCACAGTCTTTTCAAATACACTATTTTAAATAAACTAAAGAAATATTTAAATGATAGTAAAAACGAGTGACAGGTGTTCACTTAGACATACTGAAAAGCAGTGAATTATCCTAAGTATAAACCACAGAATCGTAGCTCAGTACATACCACAGCACTCAGGACATCGTGGATGTTTAAGGGTATTTATCCCATACCCCGGGAAGCAGCGGTTAATCCACACCATATGGAGAGTACCTTCAATATAGTATATTTCAGGCAATGGCTCTGCACGTCTGCCTAGAACTTCCACTTGCTGATTAAAAAATCTCTCTATAAGATTTTTAGCCTAAAACAGAAATACAATATGAAACACTTATTACCACAAAGAAATAATTTTAGCATAAGTAACATTGCTTATGTATTTAGAAGCATAAAAAAACACATTCTTGAGATCCTTATTTTTTCTCGCATTCATAAGACATAAATAACACATATGAAAATTATAAGGTGTCACCAACCAATGTCAAATATTTCCAAACGTACTTCCAAGCACGGCACGGAGGAGCCTCTTGGACACAGACCCGAGCTTTTTGGTCCTCCGGATTTTAAATGCTGGGCACCTCGCCGACATCAGACAGCTCTGTGACACTTAGGCTTTAAGAGCACGTCTTGCGCATCCGCTCCTCCCCTTCCCCGAGCACAGAACAGGATGGTTTCAGGTCCAGGGAATGCGAGGGCCTCCCCGGTGAGGCCTGAAGCCAGAGCTGCGAGAGTGAAGGGGCGCGGAGCGCGGGGCGGGGTGCACGGGCGGGGTGCACGCACGGGGTGCCGCGTGGCCGCGCGTCCCCGCACGGTCAGTGGGCCCGTGGGCACAGGGTTAGAACGCCACGCACTTCACAGCCATGCCGCAGAGGACACGTGAGTGTGAACTTACTACAACACGCACGGGTCACTATGCTGGAAATGACAAAATGCTGACACAAAATCACAGAACACCGAAGGAGCTGTAGAAAACATCGCGTTCGTGGATCAGAGCAGAAGCACTAACAGTAAAAATGTGAGAGTCCTCCCCAAATTTACATACTGGATCCATTACCCTAATTGCTACCAACACCTCAGAGAGGATCTGGCAGACATTCACGAGCTTACTCTAAAATCAGAGAGGCACAGATCCGAAAGTAACGACGACCATCTTGACGGGACAGGACACAGCGGGACAACAACGCTGCCCGTTCCCGAGGCCGCGGGAGTGAAGACGGGGGTACCGGGAGAGGCGCAGGCACAAAGAAGGAAGAAAAGAGACCCCAGAGACAGACCCGCACGAACACGCCCCACCGTGCTGTGACGAAGGGACCAAAGCCACCTGACAGAGCATGGACGATACTTTTAACAAATGCGCTGGAGAAAGCGGACGTCCACAGGCTGACAGTGACGGAAGTGACGCTCCAGAATGGGAACCTATCTTCACGCAAACACTTGTATCAAAACTTCACATAAGCTTGTTTACCTGATGTCACCCCAATAAATGCAACTCCTTCAATAGGCCAAGGTTCAACGAGCTGAGGCGTGCGCCCCGTGGGCCCCCGGCTCATACGGCAAAGCCACTGGTGCCACGGAAACACACGCTGCCACACGACTGGCTGAATCTCAGGACACGGTGCCGGCGGGGCAAAGCCAATCCGCGGTCCCTTCTGCAGAACACCCTGGTGGCGATGAAACCCGAGAAACGGAGGGCAGCAGAGGGAGGAGGGGCATCGGGGGAGCGGTGGGACAGAGGCGGGTCTGGTCCCCAAGGGAAGGGCGGGGTCCTTGGGTACTGGAGCCACCCGCGCCTGGACTATGGCGGTGGACATGCGACCCCACTCAGAAACGGTACAGAGCTCGACACACACACATCGAGCACGCCAATGAGAGCGGCGGCCACGCCCAC